GAGATGAATCGTAGTCAGAAAGCAAAGCCGGGGTCGATGGTAGGGTTGGAATCAAGCCAAACAGTCCAAGAACTGAAGGAATACTAGCCTCTGTCTCCAGCAACCGCGATCTCTCTCCTCCTCCGCCATCTCTCTCTCTCCCAGCGATCTCTCTCCCCCCAAGGGAGGGGCTCCTTAACCTTTTATAACAATTTGGTGGCCAATTAGAATGTGTCCCTCAAAGAACTTTCTAGCCAAATGACATCATGCTCTTAGCTGACTGAGCATGTGCGAGCCTGAACTCTCTGCTGTTACCAGGCAGGCGCAGGGCTGAAAAGTAGGTCAGCCTGACTGACAGCTCTTGGGGTCGCCCAGGGGACACAGGCTGGGTGAGTCCAATGGAAAATTCCAGGAGCCTGTCTTGCGCCTGTCAGTACCAGTTCTCTCTCTCTCTTTCTTCCTGCATTGGCAGCATACAATCAAAACTTTACTTCAACAATGTGGAGTGGCCAAGTAGCAGGAATCTTGGAGGAACAACGAAGGTTTTTGTCCTATACATGCAGGACAGAACCCAGGCAGATTGCCATGAAGAGGAGTCCTGCACAGTGCTCCTCACATCTGCTGCAGAAAGCTGCAGTGTGTACTTCCTCTTGTATCTGTCTGCACATCTGTTTGGGAGGAAGTTACCAGCTAGCCACAGTTATGTCTCTGTGTTCAGTAGCAACATCCTGCCTAGCCTGGATATTCTGAGGAACATCTGTACAATACAAGGCCCTAAAAATATTACAAGGAAAACTGAGATCAATATAGTTCAGAAGGGATATTCTTGCATGCAAAATTACATGCGTGCTGGAGTTACTGACAGGGAGCAAGATTGCCACTTCTGCTCTTGCTACTTGGTTGAACAAGGCGACCTCTCTGCCATGTAGCCAGCAAAGCCAGATTCTATACAGCTGACTCCATGCCTAAGCATAGGGAATGTGTCAGTGTGGGAGACAAAATACCAAAGGCAAAGGTATAGTGGAGTAGAACATTGTACAACTGGCGTAGGTAGAATCATGGAGATGAAACTGAATCCTTCATGACTCTCAATTCTTCTGTGCCAAAGAGTTCAGGGATTGGGAAGAACTGAACCAAAATGCATTTGATTTATCTATCACTTTTAAAAATCTTATATTTCTATATGGTAGAGTTTATTCCATCAGTCTTGCTCACATGGTCTAGGATGAGTGGTCAACCTGAGGGCACATGTGCTACAAGTGGCACAGGAAGCCTCTGTGTGTGACACACGGAAGATCAGGCAGGGAGCACAGGGCAAGAAGCAGAATGCTGAGGAAGGGGATTGGAGTGGCAGTCAGGGACGATGTTGGGTTATTTTGTGGCGCTCCTACCAAAAGCGTTAGACCCCACAGGTTTAGTATCTTATTCACTGAGTAGTCCATTGAAAGCTGTAGAACTGTTCATGCACCATATAATACAAAGGTCCAGAATGGACTCTTATCTGATCTCTGCTGCATCATCTACTGAGTTTTGGTCACAATTCCAAGCGTTAGTGGGAGGGCAGAATTTGAATAGCTAATAAATCCCAAGTCCCATAGGGAACCAAATATCATTTCCAAAGCATAAGTGGATGCACAGAAATTATACCAAACCGATGACTCAGTCTATTAGCCACAGGTTCATTTCAATGCAAATGTTCTGATTTACAGATAAGACAGATGCTTAGTTCTAAGTAACTGGAGTAAGATTACAAAAGCTGAGGGCTGTGCCCAAGTATTGATCTTATCATGTGCTACACAATAGCTAAGACAGGGGTCTTTTGTATTATGGTGTCCAAAAAACTGGAATGGCTAGAATACGAGTTTCTCTTTCTGACTTGCTGCTAAAAATCTCTATGCTTAGAGCAAGGTTTAAAAGTCTAATTCATATATGATTACCATTTGTGGCCATGTTTCATCACATCGTTATTTGCATCTACTTTTAACTGACCTTTACAGCAAACAAATTTCAGCATTAATGATTTTGCTGCCTCCTAAAAAGGCATGCTGGCTTTCAGAATTTCCACAGTTAATGTATAACAAGTGTAAGCAAAACCCAAGAAGTAATCCTCCTGCTTTCCTACACTGTGGTGAGGCTGCAGCTAGAGAACTGCATCCAGTTCTGGGCTCCACACTTTAGAAAGGATGTGGAGAAGCTTGAAGGAGTCCAGAGGAGAGCCATGCACATAATTAGAGGCAGTGGCAATGCATAGGGGATGCACATGCATCCCTTGACAGGCAGCGCTCCCTACTTAGGCACCAGGCCGAGGGAGCAGCCAGGAGCGCTGGTGCCCCACCCTGTGAGCACCAGCCAGGGAGTGGGGGTGCCAGGTGAAGCACTGCTGGCACTTCCAGGAGTGGTGCTCATGCTTCCCGGTTGTTGCGATTGGTCATGGGGGGATCCCCACCCCATCCGTGAGATGGGCCACAGGATGACCCCCCCACCATGGTCGCTGACTGGCCACTGGGTGACTGGTGCCACTGACATTCCCCCTCTGACTCAGGTAGCACCAGTCACCCATGATTAGAGGTCAAGAGAACAGGCCTTATGAAGAGAGGCTGAGAGCCATGAGCCTCTTCATCCTGGAGAAGCAAAGGCTCAGGGGTGACTTGGTGGCAGCCTATAAGTATATAATTATAAGTATATA